GAGTAAAAGACCTTTACTGTAAATAAGTCATACTCTCTTTAATTATTTAATTATTATTTATCTTAGTTTTTATATTTATCTTTAGTTATAATCTTCTTTGATTAATAGTAGTTTTATTATTTAATTATTTTAAATCTCCAATTATATTTAATTAATTATAGCTTTACATATTGATTAATATAATTTTCTTGATTTATATTATTCTTTTCTTTTATAATTTGTTTCTTTCAAGATAATATCCATAGATATTGATATAAATCTTAGAAATCTTTGTCAGTATTGAAGTTATAATCTAATTTCCCTCTCTTAATTTATTATTTAATTCAGTCTCTCACAATCCAATATTATTAAGATAAATTCAAGTGAAAATCCATTTATCAGATTTACTGTAATAATATAAATTGAAATTGAATTGACTTTTTTACTTTAAATTAGAAATAAAATATTAAATTTAGTTCATTTTATAAATTAATTCAAATTAAATAGAATTTTAATAATAATAGCTAATATTAATTAAATATAAAATATATAATTATTTTATAAAATAAAGAATATAATATTTAAAGATTTTAATATTTTAAAATAAAAATATATAAAATTTTCAAAGTATTATAATATAAAAAAATTTATACTTATAATAATTTTAATAATAAACAAAAAATACATAAAATAATAATTTTTAATTCTATTAAATTTTATTGATATATAGCCAGAGCACTTTATAATTATATTTCTTTATAATTATATTTTTTTTATTTGATTTTTCCAGTTATTAATTAATTAAATAAATCTCTATAATTATATTTCTTAATAATTATCTAATTTTACTTTTTTAAATGTAATAATTATAGAAAATTTGGCTAAAAACTATATTTAATTTTGAAACTAATATGTAATTTATATATTTTGTAGAATATAAAAATAGTAAATATAAAAATAAAGATAAATTTATTTATTAATAAATATTACATTTTATTTTTATTATTTTTTACTAATTTAAAAATTTTGTTTTATAATTTAACTTAGCAAGTCATCTTTTATATAATCAAATTGAATAAATTATAAGTAAAATAATTAAATTAAAGAAATTACATATAAACAGATAATTAATTAAAGAAATTACAAGTAATTAATTTTTTTATTATTTATGTTTTTGTTTTATTTAAATATTTTTTAATTTGATACTAATACTAATATAATATATATTTATTATATACTTTTTGTATTTTAAATACTTTTATCTTATACATCTCTCTTCATTATATATTTCTCAGTTTTTATATAATAAAAAAATTATAATTCTTTTTAAATAAAATTTCTCCTCATCTTATTTATCTAATTCACATGATTCTATTAAAAATAACAATAAGAATATAAATATATTATTATTTTTAAGATAATATTATCATTCTTATCACAAAAATTTTAAACCAAAAATATTAAAAAATTATGTTAATATAATAATATAGAATATCAAATATATGAGATTTTTCATCAGTGTATACATAATAATTATATATATTTTATTTTTATTAATTATCTAATTACTATACTAAATTACATTGTGAAATACAATTACTGACAGAAGGGCTAAAAACAGAATTATCATAAATAATAATAAGACTTTTAAGGCCTGTATAAGATTAAAGATAATTCTAAATTAATACTATCTTTGTTTTTTAAAAGATCAATGTTATATATTATTTAGAAATTGAAAAACATTTTGGGATAATTATTTATAAGTGAAAAGACATCACTAAAATAAATAGCGAGATCAACGAATTTTGTTCTATGGTAATAATAGATTGTCCAAGAGATTTTACTTGGATTGATCCAAATGTCAACGAACAGTGATCCGCAATACAGAAAAAATGGTGGGATTTAAAATATCTCGTGAATAAAGAATTGTGCATATTCATTAAATGCATGTTTACCCGAATTGGACAAAAAACTCAAATCCATATTCTTTTTTCAATACACTAGAACAAATTTTATTATTCTAACTAATAATTCCTATTTAAAATGCCTAGGATTTCACTGGAAAAATATTTCCGCATATACACACTCCGGCAATAAGGATATTCGGTCCGGAACGCAATACGATTAATGGCATCTAGAAAACGTACTAAGTTTCATCATGAACTCCAAATTGAACTGGATGTTGAAATTTTCGTGTAACATAGCATACGACGTATATTAAGAAATGGCTTATTAAACAAGAAAAGACTCTGCTCAAAATAACACATAAGTAAAAAACGTCGATTGGGATTGGGCTTAAATTGGAAGATTGATGACTGGCGAAAGATAATTGGTCTAATGAAGCAAACACTAAATATTGGGTTGTCGAACTCTACATATTGTGTATTAATTTTTTAGGGAAAAGGTGCTGGAAGATAGTGAATTTTATATCCAAACAAGATAACATACGTCCAAAAAATCAAGACGATCGTTTCTTGATTGGTCCAGCTTAATTCAATTGACACTTGCAGAATCTTTTTTTGCCCATTTTCTAATAAAAACGATTTTGCGGGAAAAGTGACAAATCGCCTGGGGAAAGCATTGAAGTTGACTTTTGCAACAAAGAAAGACAGTCCTAAACAGCTGCGAAGTTTTTAAAAAGAAACTATGAATTTTATTACAAATTGGCAAAATACGCAAAAATTTTAAAAAAATCATTAGCTTGCGAAATAAAAGATAATGAATTTTATTTTAATGAACAAAATTTATCTGCTTTTGGTCATGTATATTCTTCATTAACGAGATTCAAATATCTCGCCATATTTTTTTATGTTCCATTTCTTTTTAGTGAGTCACTGTATATATAAAACGGACGAATATAATATATACACCAATTAAAAGGCAAGTACTTAAATTCAAGGAATAGCCCACGAGCACGTAAACTCGACAAAATCCCGTATGCATAAATACTGTTTTTTTCACACGGAAATTAGATCCGCGCTTTCCGTGATTGAAAAAAACAATTAGCTAATAAAATAAATCATATATGTGATAAAAGTCTCATTACTTATACGAAAAGCTTGATTTTCACACTTTCATTCATAAAATATTCTCGCTTATTGTGTTAAATATTGTGTAATCCATAAAATCATTAACGATAACATAATTTGCACAGTGCAGCTGCACTATACAAAATAAAACGCACTCATTTGTACAAATTTCAAAAGTTCTTAAACACAATTTTACTCGCATAATAATTACGTACATTCAGTATTATTAATTGGTTCTTAAAAATTTGTTATTTTGAAATTTTTTAAATGTGTAACAAAATCTATGAGTTTGACTTTAATATGTGCAAGCATTCCCCGAGAGCTCGCCAGTGTTCTTTTAATGAGAGAAAAAATGAATTCGCTTTTATTTAACTAAAGATTAAAATCAATGTCTCTTTTTAGTTCAATCTATAAATATTTTTTTACAAATGAAGTTGGAACTTCTTTTATTCAATAAATTATACAAAAGGAATAACAGAAAATAATTGAATAATGATGCGATAAATTAATCGAATAGCGATTGATATTTAATTAATTAAAATCCAGAAGATAACGATAAACTACGATGCTGACGAGTATGATAATGATTTCGATATTTGTTCTGATTATTATACTGAGAAAAAGAATTACCGCCCATGAATAAGAAATCCTCATCATCTTCACTTTCATCTTCCAATAAATCCCAATCTCCAAGATGACCTGGTTCATCATCTTTAATATCCTCTAATTTATTGGGAAATCGTGTTATTGAGGATGCTTTATTAGTCTCTGACGAAAAAGATGACTTAATTGAATATTTGTCTGATTCTTTGTCGTCATCAATATTCGAAGTCTCATTTGGTACATGGTCATTATCTTTCTCGTTTTTATTACAAAAATTCCCACGCTCTAAGTAGGTCTCAAACGAAGGTGGTTTACGTAGACGCTTTTGAAATCGAGTTGTCCTTTTGTTCGGTTCTTCTTGTTGAAAAGTGGCGAAAGGTGAGCGAGCAGCCGAATAGAATCCAGCCGGCGCTGTGTTTCTTCGATTTCTCTTCGGAGCTACAGTACCATTATTGTTAATTGACAAGGCTGTTTGCGATATTGATGCTTTTTCCATTCTCCTTTAGTAAATTTTTCTTTCTATGAGTAAAGAGATGATGTATGAATTTGTAACTATGAGATAATAATTTATCAAAGAATATCGATAAATCGACTTTCGCAAAGAATCGGTGTACACACAAAATGAAACAATTGTTCTTTAATATATAAGAATTCGAGTCGTACGACATTACTTGTTCTGTATACTTTTTCTATCGCTTTTCTCTTAATGTCGGCTTTATTGCGATCGACCCCCAGCCAAGAGTAGCACATGTATTAAATACTGCACAGTCTATTATATTTATGTACATGGCAATAAACAAAATAAATAAAAAATGTTTAATATCACATATAAAAATCATCATGATATAAATAAACCCATTTGTGTGAAGACGTCAACACTATGACCGCAAAATTTACCGTCTATTGTCCATTTCCTTTTGTTGTTATTGTTATCGTCAATCTTGCACGAAAATTTGTGCAAGTCACGCATCGAATCATTATGAAAGTTTCACAACTCTCGTTAGTTTCATTTCACATATTCTTTATTAGCACGTAAAAAAGACGCAAAATTAAAATATTTATGTGTGAGTCTATAATACATTTTAATTTTCGATAAATTGAGCAACAACGAGCAGATAATATATATATTATTTGAGTTAGATTTCTATGCCAGAATTAACTGGATTTTTCCGTGGTT